GCTCACCTCAGGAGGCTCCTGGGGCAGCGTCCCTCCGTTCTCCAGGAACTTGGAGAAGGTCTCCACATCTCGGGCGCTCTTGTACTCAACCATCTGGAGCAGCGGGACAGAAGGGAGACAAGGGGTGACCCCATCCCCCCGGTGCTGGCAGAACCGGGGTGCTCCCCCTGGGTACCCCACCCACCTTCTTGCCCGGCCCCGCAGGGAAGTAGTGCAGGGTGGGGAAGCCGTTGATGGTGATGTTCTCCAGCTCGTTGGCCGTGGCGTCCAGCTCAGCGATGACGATGTCCTCGTGGTCCTTGTAGCGCTCGCCCAGCTCCTCCCAGGCGGCTGCCATCGCCTGGCAGTGGGAGCACCACGGTGCATCTGCAGGGTGGGCGCAGTGCGGGGGGGCCGAGCCGGGGGTGTGGGGCTCAGCTGGGGCCAGGGTGCAGCATCCCCTGGGCGAGGGGTCAGGGATGGGGCTGGGGGCTGCCAGAGCCCTGTGGCAGAGCTCGGGAAGGGCCATGGGGGCCCCAGCACTTACAGAACTTGACAAAGACATTTTTGGTCTCATCAAATGCCACCTGGTCGAAGGTCTTCCCCACCAGGACCTTAACAGGCCGCGTGTCCCAGTCCTCAGGGGGCTCCGCGCTCAGGAGGTGGGGCTGTGGGGACAGTCCGGAGGGCCACAGCCTGGGCTGAGCGGTGCCAGGGCCCCACGGGGCACAGGTGCTCAGGGGACAGTGCAGGACAGGGACAGGGGCGCCCTCAGCCTGCAACCCGGGCTGCTCCTGTGCTGCCTTTTGAACCACCTCTGCCGCCATCCCGGCTCTGGGTGTCTCCACACTGATGTTCTCCCGACTCCTTATCCCTAACAACCCCTCAAATCCTCAGGCCTGGCAGCACAAGCATCAGCGAGGAGGTGGCTGGTGTTCACCACGCAACTGCCATCATTAGGCCCCAGAGTTAACAGCCCAGGGATCACCACAGGGAAGCATCCTCAGTGCTGGCTGGCACAGGGCCGCATTCCTCACCTTCACCTTGCCATCCAGCACTGCCTGGACAAAGGCCCGTACGGCTGTGTCTGAGAAGGTGTCCTGGTCCATCCGGTACTTGCGGTTGTTCTCCATCTTGACGAGGCGCAGGGTGGGGGCTTCGGCAGGCGTCAGGCCGAAGAAGGGCAAGACGTCGGCGCCGTACCCAGCCACATCCACCACCACGAATAGCACCTGGGCAGGGGATGGGTGACACTGAGGCTGGGG